GGGGAATAACCGTAGCCCTATACTGCATCCAACCTCACACCGGTTTTGGATAAGCGTCAATAAATACGAATGCCTTCAAAGAGTTCGCGAGAGTTCGTTCACGGAGCTCGTCCAGAGAGCTCGCTGATGGATCTACGTTATTGCTTGTCGACAAGACCTCCGGCATTAGCCTTGTACCACACTTAACCAAGCCAGCAAAAACGAACTTTGCCAAATCACCAAAGTGTCACGTCTGTCTAGAAACGGGTTGTGTTGAAAATTGAATAGGTATAAGCTTCTACATTTTAAAACAACGGCTGTACAAAGAACCGACATAAAATTGGAATTCTAGTATTTCTACAAAACAAACAGTACAATATTCTGCAATTTCATAAATTTTTAAATTTCTTTTTCCCGAGTGACTTTTTCATTGATATATTTATTGATACCATGTTTGTTTACTTCCAGGAGTCCTGGTTTCAGAGCTAAGCTCAGTATATGCACTGATTCTTGGTAAACGCCACTTTTTTCATTGTCTTCAAGCCCCTCTCATACATGATACGCGTATTAGACGCAAGGTAATTTTTTTGATGCATGTTTTTGAAAAAAAAACCGCGTCCAATCGGCCGGTAAATACGCTATATTCATTTTGATTTTTAGTTAAAACGGCGTTTTCACGTCAAAATTATGATCACACAGATTCTGGAAGTATGCGTGTTGGTTTATTTAACGACATATCAACACCTTATGGGCCATTTAATGCTGAAATTTAATTTTCTTGGGAGCTGTGAAGTAATAAAAATGACATTACTCTGCTTTCACAATTGAGTACATGGTAGATAATTATCAACTTTTGTGCATATACATATTTGTGTGGACGTAATTACTAGACGCGGTGATATGCGTGTTTTATGTTGTAGTTTTCTGGAACTTATATTTAGGAATACAGTTTGATTTCTTTAAGAAATTGTCGGATATTATATGGACTAATGTCATGAGAGAGTGCTTTCATGTTGGTTGTTTGGTTGTTTTTGTTTAGTTGCATATCAATATTTCTATGGGTTATTTAATGTCGAAATCTAAATATTTTGAACGCAATTGTATGCCTTCAACGACAGATAAATTGTATTGTTGGTCACTCTGCTATAAAATGTATTGCTGGTAATTTTACTATAAAAATGTATTTTTATATTTCCATTGTATTTTGTTTTTGCTTGTGGGTTCAGTATTTGTTCATAGCTAGGACCCTAACAGGTGCTACAACCCCGGGTCAAGTTGGACCTAGGTATGACAGCAATTAAAAGGTGGTTCCACGCTCCTCAAAACCTCCAATCTCCTGATCAGAGGCCTTGCTGCCGGATGAAGTTTATCGTCATATCTACGGCTGTCCGGAAGCATAAGGGTGTATTGAGAGCATGTAAACATACAACACAACGCTCAGCGTCCCAGCAACTAGCCAATGATTACCCCACGTTGTATTTCGATTCTTGATCTCGTCGGTGTGTATCGAAAGCTGGTAAAAGGTCCGCTACACGTTCACAAGGTAACAAGATTAAAGGCAAACGCCACATCAAGTAATGATAATACGAACCCTGTTTCTCATATCATAAAACAGTTGTTTTATTTAGGGTTTCGCCTGCTTGCTTTCGAGTGGATAGGTAGGCGCCACCGAACAACATGCTATATGGATCTCTTCCCTCTATCAACACCTCGCCCATCTACTCATGCCAACTTGTGGCTGGCATCAGAGCTACACGACCACAGGTCTGTTGTTCGCCAAAGGTGGACGAGAACTGACTCCTATTCCAAGCATGATTTCATAGAGACCAACACCCGAATATACCCGGTTTTGCTGCCACTTGATCTCCACCAACCCGCAACCACTTCTATACTTTCCCGTTTCCCTTCGGCCAAAGGCGCTAAGAAAACTAAACTTCAAAAGGAACCACTCACTGGCTATCAAACAAACACTTGTGATCTAGACAAAATTACATTTCCCTTTTCTACGTGTGTGTCCATAATAACAAAAAATATTTATTCTTTTTTTAAATCCCTTATGTTTCTTTAAATTTCAGACTGTTTCGATATGTATTTCCCTTTATCATCTGTTCTTACCAAAATAGTAAAAACACTTTCAAGAAGGAAAACAAAAACAGTTGAAATTACAACCCAATTTCTATAACGATGATGTAATGAATCCTTTGAAGTGTAAAGCAATTTGTTAATCAAAGCCATTATTTAGGCTTGCTACAGAACATGTAATCAGAACGAAACAAATGTTTGATAGAGTCACATAAAAGAAAAATTCTTGCGGAATGAAGTCAAATCCTAGACAAAGAAAACTGAAGAGTTTGCGGTCTGAAAGAATCAGCGCATATGATAGGTTATTAAGGCCTCCTTAGCAGGCCTAGCATAAAAATAAATACAATATAGGAGCCATTAATAAATAGAGACATGACAGCAAGGCTTCAACTGCACCAGCAATAGAAGAGACAAGCACAAAAATCAGTTCATGTCTCCAAATTCTAGACTGAATCATATTTTTGAATTTAGTGACATAGTAATTGTATGTTCAGTTCCATGGCTTTAAATGAGATTGTTACCTTCAAATGACAGAAGAATATATTCTGATATTGATGCTTTATTTCAATATAATTGTGACTGTCGTAAATTAAAACAGAATAAATTACTAGAGTTACAATTTAAAGCAAAATCGGAAGGGACAAATCGATACATTTAATTTCATTAAATAAGACAACCGTCAAATCCCGTGCATTTTGGATTGAATCTTTATATTTTATACTAATTTACTCTGACTAAATGCGCAGTTAATTATAGCGGCCCGGATCGAGAAATCAAAAAGCCGAGTTTCGTTACACCCTTGGGAAAGGATATGAATCCCCTCAGTTATGGGTTAAATAGTAGGACAACCAGTCGAGGAGACGGATAACTCTGCATTCAACACCGTATGCAGCCTTGGCGAAGCAGATACTATGTGACTAATGAAAGAATCGTAGAGTTTACAATGACTACGGCCCCCGACTGCTGTCGTTCTACTCTTGACTAATGTCCTTATCTTGCTTGCTAGCATCAACGTTTCGACCGGTGCACCCTTCGGCCTTCTTCAGATGCCTGCTATTGTTGGTAACCAGGATATTTCGAGCTGAACGCGGATGTAGATTGTTCCTCTCATTCTACTGCCCATGTTAGACAGCGTGTGGGAGAGGGAAGCAGTGCACACAAATCCCAGACATTAAGAAGTTTAGTAGCTGTGGGGGGGGGGACTCTTAAAATTTTGAAAGTATTTCAGATTGAGTGTACTAAAATACCAATATTCTCCATGTTTTTTTTAAATTTGATTTTGATTACAAAAAAAAAAATAAAAAAAAATAAAACAAAACAAAACAACAATAACAACAACAACAACAACAGGAAATACATACAATATAAAGACTGTTTAAAAAAAGGGGTAATGTTTTTCTTGTGGAAGGGTGGAGGCGAAAATGGGTGAAAGGAAAAGTAACACCATAGCAATTACTACATAGTTGGGGGGGGGAATTGTCTATTTTAAGACATTTCAAAACTGTTCTAGCCACAACCATATCTAGACCTATATTTTGCATTACTAGAAACTGACATTTTTTTTTGTAATGGCGAGGGGGATCTTACCCCCTGTAGTGGTAAAACGAAATGAAACAACCTAAATTGTTTATTTAGTTTAATTGTAAAGATTTGATACCACCGTCTTAGTATCCTGGTACTAACTGAGATTTCAGACCCAAAGTGAGACCGCCAACCGCTCACGGGTCCAGTAACTTGGTAGCCCATCGAGTATGAGCTTAAAGGAATTGTCTCAAGTACACCAGCTACAGGATTCATCCCCAAAACACAGGAATATTGGACAGATGTATGAAAATATCAAATTAAAAGACAGAGTGGTGGTTTTATGAAATTTCTTTGAGTATGATGATAGTCATGATGTTTTGAATTTTGGTGCAGTCCCCAAAACATCCACTCCCACCTTGCCAAGTGATATTTCGTATCAGTTAATCCGTCCTTGTGATATTGTCTCTTTCCACTGAACAAGATTATGATTTTTTTTTGCACTACAGGACCCAAGGATTGAACTCGCGGCTACCAGCTAACTAGATACGCTTCTTAACCAACATGCATCCACGAAGCCATGTGCGTCCAGTCATTAAATCTACTATAACAACACACATTGGATGAAGTCTTTATGCAATTTAGATAATGTTACTATATTTTTATATAACAATAAACATAAAATGAAAAATAAAACAACTGAATCGGCCGCAAAAAAAAAATAAATTTTTCGACCGAACGAGAAACGAAAAAAAAAAAAAGACGATGAAGAGGAGGAACAAAACTAAAGAAACAAAGGAGGAAGGAAGAGGACGACGATGACGAGAGGAAGGAAGAAGAGAACGACAATAAAGAGGAGGGAGAACGAAAAAAAAAAAAAAAAGAAAAAAAGGCGCATCTAAAAACAACAAAACAAAACGCTAGTGAACAAATCGAAAAATATAAGAAGTTAAAATAAAAAGTTAAAATATGGAGAATGGCTCGGAAGAACAATGAAAATGAATGGAAGAGAAAATTACAACCAAATGCTAAAGAGGGGATGGAGCATCGGAGGTGGCATGTAAATAAAGCGCGAATGGCGTCACGTACTGCAGCTCGAGAGCTAAGTATATATTGAAACGAAGACGTAGATCAATCAATCGTATTTCATCGGTCACATGACTCATGTTGGGAGGCGGCTGCGACTGTTCGCCTGCGTGGGCGGTTTGGAGTCGCCCAGAAGCGAGATAAGCACCACGTGAATCGCGCCGTTGACATTATTCCACTAGAAACCGGAACGAACATTAACAGAAAAAAATAAAAAATTAAAATAAAGTAAGTTTTGGCTTCACACAACAATCATTCAATGTAGTTGGAGAGGGGGGTAGTGACGGAAGGACACGAAATGATACGAGACCCAAAATAAATCGGGGCGGATTCTATGACGAGAAAGAGTGCCGGGTGTCTATTGAAATGCAAGAGAAAGAGAGAGAAAGACAGAGGGAGAGAGAAAGACAGAGGGAGAGAGAAAGACAGAGGGAGAGAGAAAGACAGAGGGAGAGAGAAAGACAGAGGGAGAGAGAAAGACAGAGGGAGAGAGAGAGGGAGAGAGAGTGTGTGTGGCAAAGACAGAGAGAGAGAGAGTGTGTGTGTGGCAAAGACAGAGAGAGAGAGAGAGTGTGTGTGGCAAAGACACAGAGAGAGAGAGAGTGTGTGTGGCATAGACACAGAGAGAGAGTGTGTGTGGCATAGACACAGAGAGAGAGAGAGTGGCAAAGACAGAGAGAGAGAGAGAGTGTGGCAAAGACACAGAGAGAGAGAGAGAGAGTGGCAAAGACACAGAGAGAGAGAGTGTGGCAAAGACACAGAGAGAGAGAGTGTGTGGCAAAGACACACAGAGGGAGAGAGAGTGTGGCAAAGACACACAGAGGGAGAGAGAGTGTGGCAAAGACACACAGAGGGAGAGAGAGAGAGAGTGTGGCAAAGACACACAGAGGGAGAGAGAGAGTGTGTGGCAAAGACACACAGAGGGAGAGAGAGAGTGTGTGGCAAAGACACACAGAGGGAGAGAGAGAGAGCGTCAGACACACACGCGGTCGATTATTTTTTAAAACGACGTGTTTGACAATTGAGCTGTTGACCATTTCTGCTTAGGAAATCGTAAAAAAGTGAGAAAAAAATGGTACATAAACGTAAGAATTTTAAACAAAGGAAAAGGATGTTTTCCGAAAATAGAAACGAAATTTCCATTAAACATTTCGTAAAATTATTGCATGCCATTGATCTACGTTGACAATATTTAAAAAAAAAATATACCCGCTTGAAGTGTGTGTGTGTGTGTGAATAAATATATATATATATATATATATATATATATATAAAAGCATTACTGATGTTAACCACCTAGGAGGGTGACTCTTTGGCCTTTTCGGCTGGCATGAAGTGGAAAGACTATATTGAATCAATTGTTAGGTCTGCCGCTAAGAAAGTTCGTTTACGGTGTTAGATTCTGGAAAGGGGAAAATATCTATCTTACATATTTAAAAGTCTACCATCTGTCCATGCTTTGAATATTGCTACCACATATGGTCTGGTGTTCCTGCTATATTTATAGATTCTTGATAAAATTAAAAGAAGAATCTGCAATGTCATTGGTCCTGACCTGGCATCTCGGCTTCCGTCACTTTCCCACCGGTGAAACGTAGCATCCCTGTGCCTTTTCTATAATTATTTTCATGGTTATTTTTTAGGATGAACGCTTCATTATGGTACCAAGACTTTATGAATTCAAACAGTACAAGATTGGCGGAAAAGTCTCATCAATTTACAATGGAAATGGCTACATGTAACCGTAAGTTCTATGCTAACAGTTTCTTCTATCGCACTTCTCGCTTGCGGAACTCTTCCCAGTCAACTTTGATCTACAAAAATCGTTATCTTCTGTCTTAGTTCTTGTTCTTTTACTGTTTTCTCTCAATCGTATTTTCCTCATTCTCTAAAAACTCGGTAATCTCTTGCATCTTAGTGGCTTTATTGCCTTGCTTGAGATGAAATGATATAAGAAATAGTTTGCTGACCATATAAATGAAACTGATGTTGCATTCAATATGTTTATTTTTTTTAGTCTTGTCCCCTTAGAGAAGAAAAAGCAAAGCGCGCGCGTGTGTGTGTGTGTGTGTGTGTGTGTGTGTGTGTGTGTGTGTGTGTGTAATATATAGTCTGCGTATTGTTACCCTCCCCCAACCGACATGGCGAGATGCATAGCATTTACTTGACTCCAGGTTACTTGAAAAGTTTGAAACGGCATCGGTGACGTCGACGCATTCACGAAAAACCGATCGATTATTTCGTTTTCTACGGTTTGTCAACCTTTGCAGGTTATTTAAAACCAGAAAATACTTTTACATTGTAAGAATTTTTTAGGAGGAAGATGATTTAAAATTACAAGTCTTACTAATTAACCCATAGCTGGGGGAGAAGAAATGGATTCATGCCTTTCCCAAAGGTATTTGTGGGTAAGTGAATATAAGGAATTCCCAGTCATTATCCATTACACCAACTGCACATCCAAGGTTACAACACCTGGTATACCCAAGCGGTTACCCATTTGTACTGATCAAGCTCGGCTTGCTTAACTTCGGTAGTCGTAACGGAACCGGTGTTTTAATGACTGTAAACCGCGAAAACCGATGTAAGTACAGGTAGAAACTGATATTTCAGTGATCAACGCACGTCAAAATATACAGGTGTGAATTTTCCCTATTGAGCACAAGTATTACTAGTGATCATTTTTAAAAAATCATTTTATTCATATTTAACCCTTAAAATACTTGTAAAAAATTATGCTGAAAAAAAAAACAAAAACAAAAAAAAAACATTACAGACCTTTGCTTATACCACTCTCTAAAAGCCTAGGGTTTAATAAACAATGCGCCTTTTTATTTTTATTTTTTTGATAAGCCTTGATTTTCAGTCTGCTTATGGTGACACTGTGTGTGTGTGTGTGTGTGTGTGTGTGTGTGTGTGTGTGGAGGGGTGGGTGAGAGTGAGCTTTGGATTATTTTCTACCAATCAGAAGAACAAAATTTAAAACCCGCGATAATTTGAAATGGTAACTGAGTAACAATCTCTTCAAAGATGAAGAGACTTGAGGCAAAAGAAATGCGGTTCTACAGAAGGATGCTGAGGATACCATGGACCGGACACGTGAGCAACGAAGTTTTAGAAAAAAAATGGAAACAAAAAGGAAACTTATACTTAACATCAAGAAGAGACAGTTGAGGTTTCTATGGTACATAATGAGGAAGTGGGGTTGGAAAATCTAAACTCACAGGACAGATTGCGAAAGAGACGGAGAGAGGAAAACAGCGCATAACATACTTGATGAACTTAAATAAATGGCTGGCGGAACAGGTTTTTGGATAGGAAATTGTGGAAAGCCATGATCGCCTACATCCTGAGGGGACATAGCCTATAAAGAAGAAGAAGAATTGAATGAGACTGGCGAACTAAATAAAAACAAAACTGCTGGTCGATGAAAATAACTATTTATTCACTCGTCGTCTGGATGGGTAGTCATAGAGACAAGGGGACAACCTCAACAAATTAACTTTTGCAGTCGAGAACAGGAAGTTGATTCCATAACGCCAAGTGGTCAACCAAAAATTCCGGACAGCTTATCGAAACTAAAATCGAACAATTTGTCCTGAAACTAACTACCGTATTTGCCAGACTATTGGATTAAAAAAATGCATAAAAAACTATCCTGCGTCCAATACGTATCATGTATGTGAGGGGCATGAGGAGCACGAAAAATTAGCTCTGAAACTAGGACTTCTGGAAGTGAAAAAATATCCCTGAAAAATTCACACAGGAAAAAGAAATTAAGAAATTTATGTAATTGCACAATATTTGGCTGTTTGTTTGTAGAAATACCAAATTTTACAAGAATATTTGCTGTGACTGGTATATTGCTGCTTGCTTTGTGTGTGCTTTTGTTGAAGTATTGGAATTGGCTTTTCTGCGTGTATGTGATGGGACTTCATTTACCAAGTACCATATTTGTTTTTTGTTTTTTTGTTTGTTTTTTTTTATTATTATACCAGTAGATTTCTTTGTAGCTATGATGAATTTACTGTACGCGCAGATGCTTCTCCCTGAAAAACAGCTAAAACAATTTTCAATAAATGCATGATGAAATGTACTAAAAATCTTTTCCAAAAAAAAAAAAAAAAAGTCCTGGTAATTAAACTTTACCGCACTTTTATTAAAAAAAGTACCAGTCGTATAATTTGTGCTAATACTCTAAATGTTTCGTCATCGTTAGTGAGAAGGTCACGTAAAGGTAAGGTTATCATTTTGATTTTTTGGGTGGTCATGTGTGCATTTGCTTTTCCTAAATATTCCATGTCAAAATCTGGGTGCGTCCAATGCGTGGGCTCGTCCAATAGTCCGACAAATACGGAAACTTCAAAGAGTCGCAGATCAAGTAGCACATCGCTGCTACCAAAATTCTTCATTCGATTCAGCCTTCTTCACCTCTGACATTCTTCGATACCATCAGGTTTCATCTCGACTGCTGACAGGTTAGGACTTTCACAACTGCGAGGGAATTTTCACTGTATATCTTTAACTAAGGACATTTTTGACCGTCAACTACAAGTCTCACGTTTACAAGAACTTTCTTTCCTTACTCGGCTTCATTTTCATTAGGCACCCAAAAGAATATTTTGAGCAAGTAATTTTTTTATTTCCAATTTAAATTATTGTAAAATACATTCTTTCTGTTCAATTTCACGATTAAGACTCCTTTTCTTGCACGCTTAATGACTATTTTTAAAAAAATAGTCTATATGGGGAAAAAATCCCCCATATACCTTCTGAATGAGATGCGTATGAGAAGGATCTGGTGTCGCTATGTGTAGATTGTGTGACCATTGGTTTGTCAAGGATTAATGGGAGGGGGGACAGAAAAAAAAATAAATACAGAAAAGTACTTCATCTAAATCGAGTGATGCTGAAATGATGAAGCTGATGTGTTCATATCAGCACGTTGAGAATTGAAAACTCAGTGTCGTGCCTGTATTTAGTGCAGATATAAAGAAAAAAAAGTCATTTTAAGAAGGATAAAGAAACAAAAATTTTATTTGGAGTTAAACGATTTTGACATCTGAATAGAAACGAAAACTTCGTTTTCTAAGTAAAAAGAAATGACGTTGTGCTGTGGTAGAATGAGGCATCGGAGAACAGTCGGGTACGTTACATTCACTTACGCACAGATACCCTTGGGAAAGGTATGAATCCATCTTCTTGCCCCATCTATGAGTTGTACAGAAGGGCAGACTGGATCCTATAGCTTTGGTCGTCTACCGTAGAAAGAAACGGAATTTAAAATCAAATCTTAGATTTCACGTCAGCTCGAAACCAAACTACTACTGCAAAGGAAAAGTCGCAATTCTATCGCTACTTATTGTGTTATATAAATAAAACAGGCAAAAGCCAGAAGGTAAGACGGGACCAAACGGAAGAGATGATGACAAGAATACAGGCAGGATCTGTTATACCCCCTCCCTCTCGCTGTTACTGCGAACAAAATAGAAAGAAAAATAGAAAATGTTCAGATGATCTATATTTCTTAGTTTCATAAGTTCAACGCTTTACAGCTAAGACTCACCATGCTCTATCTCTCTCTCTCTCATTATATATATATATATATATATATATATATATATATATATATATATATATATATATATATATATATAACTAGACTCGTTTCGAAAAAACCCTCGAATTTTTGATAAACTTTCCCTGACGATCCGTTTAGGTGAAACCTAGGTAGGTTTGTCTGGCTCACTAGGTCTATCTATATATAATATATATATATTTATTACGCACACACTGAAGAGAAGACAAATGAAATAGACAATCGGAAATTAATACTTAGTCCTTGCTGACGCGTTTCGTCATTCGACTTTATCAAGGCAAAAAAAAAAGAAAAAAAAGAAAAAAAAAGGAGTTACTAATATCTAAAAAGAGGCTTACACGGGAGCGTTTTTAAAAAATTTTGAATTTCATGTAATTACACATTTATTTCGCTTTTGTTTATCATCATTTGCCTTATAAAGTCAAATGACAAAATGCA